TGCCATCTCAGGAAATTTATCTCAAGACGGACACGCAATATGTTACGCATCAAGAACGCTGAACCCGACAGAAATAAACTACTCGACAATTGAAAAGCAACTTTTAGCAGTTGTTTGGAGCTGCAAGTATCCTATCTATTCGGACTCCAATTCGATAGTTAATATCTTAATTCCAATTTCGGAAAAACCATTAAATCATTTTAAAAATCAAATAGTATTAACAACAGGAGAAGTAGGAAAATTCTTAATAAGAAAGGAAAATGTGTTTAACAATAATCGATTTTACATATTATACAGATCATAAGGGAATTCTGTAAACCAAAAACTACTTATGCAATTTACTTTCAAGTAGAAAAATTAAATAGAATTTTCGCTGTAACATTGCTGCACTTTAAAAAATTCAGCATTTAAAATAATTTATTGTAATGTAGTTCTCGAAGACATTTACGCAAGATGGCCAACAAGAAAAACTAAGTATATACCATACGATAAAAACAATCGTGGAATAGATAAAATGAAGAAATACCTTTATAAAAAATATTATTTAGAATGAATATTAAGCCTACTTTACGATCATCGACGCATTTTCGCGCTATGGACAAGCGTATCTATGAAAAAGTATAACAGGAGCCGAGGTTTTTAGTTTAACAACGCATCATGGGTCCATTGAAAAGGACCTCGTCGGGGAACGGAATTCAAAAACAAAGACCTCAAAGAATTTTGTAAGTTATACCGAATAGAACTACAGTATTATTAAAAATCTAATTACAGATCAACTAATAAAGAGAGCAGCTCTATACACACAGTGACAAAGTTTACACCTATTTGATCTAAATGACAACGCTATTATTTCTTCTTATGTTCAATCGCATAAAGAAAAAAAATGAAAGTAAATTGTATCAAAAAATAAAAGAATTAAATGATTAAATTAAAGTAATTAAATAAAACAAACGAAGGCATTATTTTAAAGAGAAGAGATTTTACTGATCAACAAGTTATCAAACTAGTAAATCCCATACTTCCTATCCAGATGGATATCGCAAGGCTAATTTATAACAAAAGCATATTTATTTATTATGTAGATTTAAGTCAAATAATTAATCACTTAGAAAGCATAATTAAATTAAATAATTAAAAATAAGTTTAACGTTGAAAATATATCTAATTATATTTCTTATTATGAACTTGCCGAAAATTTACTTTTAAAAACTGAATACCTAATACAAATTACAGTGGCCAAACTTGAGAATTTACACCCACATGTAAAGAACGAGGACTAATTAACGCGGTTGATAACATGGCTAAAATAACTCTCGATGCTGACGACGAAAATTATTATAAAGCAGCAATAAATATATTAGAGTAAAACCAAAATAATTTAGCAAACGAAGTAGAACTACAAGTATCTTGATCAAAGGGTATAATTAATAATTATTATGAAAACATTGCAAAATTAAATGAAAACCAACGAAAAGTTCGAATTGGTCTAAAAATATTCCAAAGTGCAGTATTGACGACGAATTTCTTTACAAGGCTATATTCGTTTTCACGGAATTATAACGCATAGAATTAATCTACTTTTGCAAAGAAGAAACTCTTATTTGACGATATTGGAATAGAAAATTTCCCTATTACGAAAATGAATCTGTAAGAAGCAGTTGTAGAACAAATCATTCAAGGTTCAGTTCTTGCTTGCTTTACCACAGAATTCTGGAACACTGCTAATTAAATGTAATTCCGATGGGTATATGCAAATCGAAGTATCATTGTTGATCAAGATACCAGAATCCTGTCAAATCGAAATAAACGAAGAAAAAATTTTGAATTATGTTATAATCTAATACGGAAAACTTCTCGTTTTACCGAAAATCCAGTTAACGGAAATGAACTCAAGGTCCTGGATACTCCAAATATATCAAAAATTATATTCAACGACACATACCTGCCGAGGGACTTAAACGAATTCATTCCAAATAATTGTTATTGTTTTCGGCATAATCATGGTTCTAATCGTCTACAAACCAGAGAAGGCCACCAATAAGAAAATTTTGAAACGTTTTCGAAAAAACGTCCCGTTATTTAGTTTAGGAGGGAGTTATATATACACATAAATAACAGACGAATCCCATAACTAAGTCAAGATAATACGTCGCTCACTGCGCGCTAAAAGCATTAGATATTCGCTTGTTATATTGCAAAAGCACCCTCAATTATTCCAGCATTTATATCGGCTAGTCCAATCAAAACTTTCTTTCGCTTTCAAATTCCGAACATTTAAGTCGTTTCACTTTCTTTCATTTCGCAGAATCGTATTGTAAAAACCAATCTTTTTTATCATTAATTATCTATTAATCATTATCTACTGAAATAAAATGAAATAAGAAATTGTTTTGATCTCTTTTTGGTAAGTACATAATTTGTTCTTTGTAAGTAAATTGATGACTACAATTTGAAAATTACATAAGATAATTTAAATTGTTAATTATAGGACACGAATAATGTGGTTTTCATATATCATTAAATATATTTCCTGTATTAAAGAGACAAAGCAACCCCTGCATTTAGTTTTAATAGAAGAAATTAAATTAAAAGTATAGGAATTAAAAGTACATTAGCCGGATATATCGAAATTTTCATATAAATTTTTTACCAGATTTAAAGTGACCCAGGAACGAAATTAATTAAAAACTTGCCCCCTCCCAATAATTTTTTTATAATTATGAAATGGATAGACTGTGTTTTCGGTCGGTGAGTTTCTCCTGATAAAGCAAAAACAACAAGTTGCGACCGTATAATTAATGACGAAATTCATTTTAAAGTAACTAAAACAATATCATTGGCCATATAAATTTAAACAGTTTGTTGCAACACTTGAATACTTTCGATCCGCCCGAAATAACGAATGGCGATTCTTGATATAGGTTCGATTCAACGCGGTTTTGCTGAAACTAACAAATACAAACGCGCATATGAATAAAATATGGCAAATTTAGTTTCCCGAAACCGAATTCAAACATCCATCGTATTATTGATAACTATATATGTTTATTATCAGTCGATCAAATATATGAGCAAAATGTATCTAATTTGCAAGACAATTTTAATGAAACTACACAATATTATTAGCAACTCGCAAGTTCAGCCACCAGGAAATGACGAGTGTTGAATGAAAAAGCTTTCTTACACTTCCAGTGCTCCTATCGTTAAGCACCTCCATCTGAATAATAAGTTAACTTGGTGGAGTAACGATCGCCTAATCTAATAAACAACTTTATTTTACTTATTTGAAAGGTTTACTAAAGCAACTGCTGCCTCTTTGAAATTGCTCATCCGCCTGTGATGCTCCCTGTGTCGAGCCTGTGACAATTTCATATTACATCTATGCGTCCAAGTTTCAGTGTTTAACTTTAACATTTGAATCACCACTCACGACATGGTATCTCGTAAATACAGTTCTTGATTTCCTTCTGGTTAGAAAGAGTCGTCCTAACGAGGTAGCCTCTAAAGAGTTGTTTGAACTAAAGAGGGTGCTTATTTAATAGTATCTGCCAATCTTTCTTATCTTTTCAGAGAGATTTTGGATGTAGGGAATATTGGAGTGTAATATAACTTTCAATTTCTTTGGCGTCCATCTCTCCTAGATGAATCTTGCATTGTGGCAAAGGTTTAGCGTTTCTTCCGGGAATGTGTGTTTACGTAGATGGGCGAGAAATTTACTGTCTACTTTGTGTGGGTTTTCGGTATACAGAGGTAAAAATCGGGTAATTGCTTTTAGGTACCTACTAAAATATCTAGAAAGGAAAGAGGCAACTTTCTTGTTTTAGTATATCAAATTTGATAAATGGTCGTGTAGAGATATGGCACAGGTATCCACAGATTGGGCTTCGCCTTCGCAATCATTCTATGTAAAAAAAAATCTTTCTTTTGAAAATTTTTCACGCAGATCCATTATATTTTCTTTGGGTACATATGTTCGTCCTTTCAGGTAGAGTAAGATATTCGTATACAAACTTTACATGTCAAGCATCTGGTTTGGTCATTTTTCAAGTCAGTTTTGCAGACAATAATTGGTTCGATAATAACCAAAATTTCGAAAGCAATATTATAAACCTTAACTTAATGTTTTCAATATTATTCTAAAGTTTGAGTGTAAATAGACGGGTGGGGGATAAGGAAAACTTCTTTCTTAATTTTTCAATCCATGTGTGCTCCTAGTATTTTAATTTAAAGAACAATTTCGTGTATAATGCTTTGCCGATCAAACATCAAACACTTTAGGAAAACAAAAAAAATAAGTTTTGATATTGCAATTTGTTTTCAGCAAAAAATGAAAAACTGCCGATACTAGAAAAACTCATATCGAAAAATCAAATGCAAAATATTGTTTTTCAGTTTTTTAAACACTATAGGCCTTTTACAATGGGCTGTAGCCAACGCTCTCTATAATCAATATACCATATATAATATACCAGAAGACATAAAATGATTAAATTTCAAATGATAAAATTTTTTGGCCGGTCTAGTTAACAATTGATGCTATTAAAATATATTTTTGTTATTCTAAAATAAACCAATTTTTGTTAACCCAGCGGGAAACGCATAACGCATCTGAATCGTCAGCCGAATAGTGCGTTATAGTTTTCGAACTTTTTTAAACGCCGACACCTCAAACAACCGAAAGATTTATCGAAACGCATCCCTCACAATCATTTAACATCAATCGCACAAACGAAATCCTAGCGGAACGGGTCATAAATTTCGCAAAGTCGATCGAACGATACGTTAAAAAAAAGCGAAGTGAAAAAAAAAATAAATAACTGCAAGCGCGCGAACGTAAAAAAAGACAACAACAAAGGCAATACGTCACACGGGCGCACGTGAGCCTCTGTATGCATGTTTGTTCAGAGTTTTAAAAACGCGCATTCCAAAACAATAATACTCAATCAATGATAGCTATGAGCCAATAACCAAATGGTACGGGGGCTCCACGTTCGGGGGTAGGGGGATACGTGACAACCCTGTTTACAAATGTAACGATTGATTCTTCAATGTTGTTTTGAACCGCACCGATATGTCCACACGCTGCCGCATCTAGAGTGCTTTTGTGTCTGGTGATGGTTTTAAAGTGCGTCGACGGATTTGTCTTGAAGATCCGCCCGAAAATAACTTCAAGCATGCTCCGAAAAAAGAGGTACGTTCGTAACGATCGTTGTGCGTTGTTAACGTATTTCGCATTTTGAGCACGCTTTTTGCGATATTGATTTTTCGCCCGCGTCAAAATGCGTAGGCCTCGGATTTTCGCCTCGCTTTTTCGACCTACCGTCCGACATTTTCTTACATAACGCTTGCGTAGGTACGAGACTTTGAATTATCCTCAAATGCAGTATAACTTATTTTGTTAAGGGATATTTTTCATAGCTTTTCCGAAAATTTTGTAACATGTATTTCGTAAAGCACTTGGTTAAATTAACGTTAAAACCATCAGGTTAAAATAAGTGGGAATCTCTTTACATTTTTAGTAAATATGAGAAATACTGAGAAATCAATATTGTTTGGAATTGGTGTTTTTAATAATTTTTGTTTTCCGAATTTCTACCAAAATGTCTTTAATTAATTTTTTCCTCTGGCGCTTATAATATCTAGATATGTACGCACCTAAACATTTTAATACTTAGTTCATGGTTTTTGATGACTTCCCTAGAAATTCTTAGCGCTAATATCGTTCGAACAAAACGGTTTTTCGCTGTTTTCTGTGCTAAAATTTCATTTTTTCGTTATTATAAGATGTGTAAAATTATGAGAAAAACTACACGAATATTGAGCATTATAATTAGGATAATTAAGAAATATATCAGTAAAAAAAATTAGAATCACTATAATCATCATCATCAAAATATTTGATGTCTACCCTGATGTGCCTAACCTCCTAAATTAAATAAATTCGCATCTAGTTTTATTCATTTGAAGGTGTTTCCAAATTTTAACAAAAAAAAAACTTTAATAATAATATATAAACTTTTTTGTCGATAATTTTATTGTAGTGGTATAGCTGCATGATATGTCGATCTTAACCCAATTTGTTTGCGTTTATGTTTAATTTATACCTCAGGAAACGCCAGGTGTCCTATATACTACGAAGAAAGCCTGTGGTAAATTAAAAAAAAAAATAACAATAACGAATCCTTAATATCTTTTCCAAAACAACGCATTTTGTATAAAACCTAGATATTCTATAGAATGACTAACGATTCCGACAATGTATGAAATAATTTTTTATATATGTAATACCTACACATTTCAAAGAATACTTATTAGTCATAGAATTATGGAATGCCTATGTAAAACTTAGGAAATGTCAGAAATAAGAGTCGCCTTCGCAGGTGCATTCAAATTAATGAATAAATTGCTCGTGAACAAAAAATCGAAGCTAGATCTAACAAAAATTGATTCACCTTTGCCGGTGGATATGTTACTAGTCAAACTCCATTCTCATACCAAACTAGTTTTGTTGAGTTAGTGAAAAGAGCAAAAAGTAACCAAACTTGTTATAGTGTTTAAATTTCGCCCAAGATAAGCCCCTTTGGTCAGAAAAAATACTACTTTTTAGTTTTATGAAAAAGTATTTATTTATTTATCAAAATTAATGTTGTTCCCTTCAAAGTAATCCCCGCCAGATATAATGCACCTGTTCCAACGTTTCTTCCAATCCACGAAGCACTTCTGGTGAGCACTTTATTTATCCTGATGCAAAATCTATGAATTGTTTTCCCACAATTCCGGACATTTTCTTCGTATTGCTTCTTGCAAACGGGGCATAACCTCTAGGTTATACTCTTGATTGCCCGTACGACCTTGTGGTAAGAACTCTTGATGTACTACCCCATAGTTAAAGAAAACAGTAACCAAAACCTTGACAATTGATCGAACTTGGCGTGCTTTTTTCAGTCTTGGCTTGGTCTTGTATTGGGGTGATTGGGCTCTGGTTTCGACTTGATAACCATATCAAACTGGATTCACCATATGCCGTTGTGAACATTTCAAGCGTTTTGCTGCACTGTATTCCATTTTTTATATAAAATTTTATCAAATTCTTCGATCCATTTTTTTTGACCGCCGGAAAATCGCTCAACACAAAGAACACATCTAACGCTTCTATTTCACAAAAACAAGCAAACGTGCAAACCGACTGAAACTGTGAACATATGATTGGGACCTGTGTACCAACATAATATACTTTTTGAACACACATCACATTGTAGAATTTCAGGGAAACAGCCTTTGTGGAAACATGACTAGCATGAAAAGATAGGTTTGTTTAAAAAAAGGGCAAAAATCACAACACAAGGTTGCAATTACAAAGTTTGAAGGGACCCAATATACATCTATGGCACTGCCAATAGGATAGGCTTGGGTAGGTACAGGGTTAGTTTTTATAGGATCATCGATAAAATGAATTGAAAACTTATGAAATAAACGTATGCATTTTTTTTTATCAGACTAGTAATACATATATTTTTTTAATCTTTATTTTCTCTGCGTACCACCCTAAATTTCATAAAATTGCACAACCAACTGTAAGGTATGAAAATTTGTATTTACTTTTCGCAAAAACAAAAAGAAATCTGCCTACTTCACTATACTTATGCAAAATAGACACTTATCTAAGTCAATTAAAAAAAACTGTATAGTGGTCACCACATTATGTCAATCAAAGATCGAGAAATCAATTATTAAGTCTTTAAATTTGGATAACACGCAAACTATTCAATCACCGATAAGTAAATACCGCTTTTTAAATGAAAATTGCAAATACACAGAGCTGCAACAGCGTTGGTTTTTTTTGTATTTCTAGAATAAACTATAACATTTTCCATCTCGATTCCTTTCTTTAAAATTTCGGAGTAACTTTCTCACGCTTGATGTGAGATGTACAGTGTGACAAAATTTGTCATTATCTGTATACGTAAGTATTTATTTGTAAATATTTTCGTCTTTTCTTTGCCTTAGAGTTGCAACATTTTATACAAAACAAAACGTTTTATTTTTGTGCATTAGTCTATCCTCTGCCATTAGTAATTACTGTTTCATATGTGACTTTTGTCATGTTGCATATATAAAAACAACGATCCTAGCGTCAGACAGGACAGGCAGCACACAGTAAAAGTGCAGATTCCTTGTTTAAAAATTTAGTTCAATCTAAAAGTTAATAAAACATTTTGCAGGAAATATTGGGATTCCATTTTATTTGCGGCAAATAATTTTTCGAGAATCGAGAATCTCTATAGTACTTTGACTAAATAAAAGCAATATTAACTTTTGTGTAGTGTGTTTTTAACTTTTCTCATTACTTCTGCGCAAAAAAAAATACACACTGTAAATATTGCTCAGTGCAAATGTTTTAGAAAATTTTGCATTTACAGTTTATAATAATGCATTTAGATTTGCAACGATTATAGCTAAATATTAGTCAAAAATGTAATGAAGTCGAAAAATCAAAATTACTCTTGAACTAGATAGATGAAAGGATTATTTATTTGACTGTATTAATGTACAAAGCATATTTACAGCATGTCCATGTACAAAAAAAATGTATACAACTAGATAAAATCTACATTAACTAGGTATAAAATCATAATACATTACATACAAAACAAACAGGCATTAAAAAACAAAAAAATTGGAAGATATCGATCACAATCAAATAGTGACCGCCATTAAGAATCAAACAAAATTCTTATCACTTGTTTGTATTTTCTATAGAATAAAAACAATGTTGCATAAAAAATGTTTTTATTTTGGCTTTAATATTTGTCAGAGCTGTGTTTCGAGTATGAATTTCTTCATTAGGTCTGTTGTCTGTTGGGTTTCTCCACAGGATAAAAGCATATGCCAAAATTGAATGAAAAAGAAAATAGTAGCTCGAGACTAGATAATCTTTTCTAATTAATTTTTTTTTTCGTCGAAGTAAAAATTGTACACTTACCAAATAACCAATATGGTCCCTTTCAAGAAAGCCCGGAGTAACTCGGTTATATATTATTAGCATTTAAACTAAACTAAATTTGGGCAAATTTTCTTCGCCCAAGGATTCTGTAGTTTGACTGCATATCATTAATTATGTAATAATTATATACCGGGTGGAACAGCGGACCTTTGTCGTCTCCCAGTTTTTTGCGAAATAATTACCAGCAGATGGAATTCTCTTTCCAACAATATGCCAGTGTTAAAATTTATTTTCAATGTAGTTTAATAACCAAAACCAACCAAAACAGATTTTTTTCCTATATTCTGTGGCAAATGGATCAGATGGAAACGTAATATTATTTTGCAAACAAAATGTATTTACGTTTTATTGAGTGTTGATGAAAATAGATAGTAAACAAACATTTACTACAAATTAAATCTTTCGCTACAGCGGTTGATCAAATAAATTTGGTTATGATATTACTAAGTCGTCAGATAATTCTTCCGTTTGTAGCATATATATTTCTATAATAAATAAATTAATAAACAATATTATCATTTCAGTCTTGCTCGATGGAGTTCTATATGGAGATTATACAAGGTAATTTTTTTTCTCTAAAATGAAAAAAATCCTGATAGTTAGAGTGCACTGAGACCTACTAACATACTACCAATCCTTTCAAAAATTGTGGAAAAAATTATGAATCTCCAAATTTGGGAGCAGAGTTGGATAGGTTCACCAGAGCATCAATTTGCCTTTTGGTCAGGCTATTTTTGTTTCGCTGTTAGGATTAACTTGTGCTTCCAAAGCTTTTGACAAATTAAGTCATCAGGTACTTCACAACTAGTTAAGATTTCATTTTTGAGCCACTTGTTTTTTGTACTTGTACTTGTAAAATGAGTTGCCTTTCTGCGTTACTGTGCTACCTATATGCAGAAGAAACACAGCTTTATCTTTCTTTCCCTCCCAATGAGACAGCAAGTGCCCAAGGGATGTTAAACGAGATCTACATTAATTTAATCTAAATTAAGTACTTCACAAGTCGCAGTATCCAGTTAAATGCAACCACAACACCGCGTATAATATTTGGCAAGAACAGGGACACCATTAAACCTGGATTTAATGTTACAATTGGAGATGACTTAATGAGTTGTAATGTTGCATTTCTGTACACTCCTTCGGTAAAAGTCACATATCAACAAATGCATACAAAAAGCAAACGGTAA